CACATGAATAGAGAACTTCCAGATAGACAAGCTGGTTTCAGAATAGGCTCTGGAAGAAAATATATCATAGAATACATCAAATGGATCTTGGCTAAAGGCAAAGAATAGCAGGGGTGATAAGTTTGCTTGTTTTTTAATAGACTGTATAAAAGTTCAAATTGTCTTCCTGTCAAACATTCTTCTAGGTGGTATAGCACTGGTCTGTGCGTTGCTGTACAGAGGTAACTCGTGGTTGCTGTGATGCTGAAGCCTGTGACAGTGATGTGCCAATCGTGGTAATGGGCACCCATGGTGGACAGTGTTGGCTGGAGCTTCCCGACTAAATCAAGCCTGGAAGCAGGAGCGGCATCCACTTCCAAAATGACTTGCCTCTGGAAACTCTATGTACGAACAGTGCTCAGGCTGTTCGTTCATAGGGTTGCTATGAGTCATCTACAACTCGACGGCATTAAACAACAACAACAACATATAAAGGTATTCAGCTGTGTGGATAATAGTCAATTATGAGTAACACTGAGATGAATGGAAATTCATGAACCCTAAATTGTTTTTGTGTGGAACTTGTGTGTGAACCAAGAAGCAGTTGTTAAGTTATTCACAATTTGCATCAGGCTTGTATCCTTTCTCTACACTTATTCAATATGTTTGCTGAGCAAATAATCTGAGAAGTTTGACTATATGAAGAAGATATGGCTTCAGGATTATAGGGAGATATCAATAACCTGAATTATATACCTGACAAAACCTTGCTTACAGAAAGTTGAAAACTTGAAGCATTTGTAGAAGAAGATCAAAGACTGTAGCTTTCAGCATGGATTACAGTTCAACATCAAGAGAACAAAAAAATCTTCACGACTAGACCAATATGTACCATCATGATAGCTGGAAAAAGATTTGGGTTGTCAAGGATATCTTTCTTTTTTAAATCCACAATCAATATCCCTAGAAGTAAAAGTAAATAAAACAAGTGATATGTTGCACTGGGCAAACCTGCTGTCAAGGACCTCCTTAAAGTGCTAAAATCCAAGGATATCAATTTGAAGATTATTGTGCATCTGATCCAAGCCATAGTGTTTTCAGTTGCTTTCTAAGTATATGAAATGAATAAAGATAATGTATAATGAGTAAGAAGAACTGAAGGAGAATTGATGCCTTTGAATTAATTGGTGGTGTTGGCAGAGAGTGTTGTTGAAAGAACAGCCAGGGTGTCCTGCAAGGCAAGAATGGGGAAACTTGATTTCATATAGTTTGGATAGATTATCTAGAGGATCAATCCTTGGGAAAGGGCATCATGTTTGGAACAATGAAGGGGAGAGGAGGACCGTCAAAGAGGTCTAATTGACCAGTGACTCTTACGGTGGAATTACACACAGAAGAGATGGTGAAGATGGCACATGATTGGCCAAGATTTTGATACATGGTGTCTCTGTGAATTAGAGTCAATTTAATGGCTCTTACCTCTGGTGGCCTAGGGCAATCCCAAAGGCATGCAGTTCTAATCTACTAGCTGCTCTGAGGAAGAAAGATGCATGATCTCCTCCCATGTTATTGACTGTCTCTGAAAACCCACTGGAGGGTCAGCTATGGGTCACTTCTGACTCAATGGAACACAACTACAACAACTAACTACAGCAATACTTGTATCTGACCTAGGAATAGTGGGACCTGGCAGAAAGGACATCTGTCTTATTGGAAATCTTGAATTTGATTCCTAAATCCACTGCTGAATAGCCCTGCTCTTGGAATGGTCTTTAGCTAAGGTTCAACTTCTTCATCTGTATAGTGTTGATATTAAGGATATGGAATAATAACAGCCTATTAAGTATCATAGAATTGTTTACAGGATAAAAGATCAAAGATGCAAGTGAAAGTGCCTTTTATCTTCTAAACAAAGAGAACTTTTTATTCATTTGATCAATAGGACCATTGTATATCAGAATATCAAGTGTCTCTCCGGGATCACCTGGCGAGTTATGGGCAGAGCTAAATTGAGACACCTCATCTCTTGATTCTTAGTTTATAGCTTGTGGTCCTGTATCTCGTGCACCTCACAACTTTCAAAGGCTGAAGAGGGCGTGGACACATGAGGTCCCCTTGGAGTGGTTTCCCTCCAATGAGTTTTCTCTCTACTACAGATCTCCCTCCGTTACCTACGACTGTGGGCTTCCAAGCAGCCATCACTTTTTTGATGGTAGGGGATAAAATAGGGGTCTGTTGGGGCACACTGCAGAGGCTTTCCCTCCTGATTGCTTGTGCCTGTTTGTGGCATTCTTTTCTCGGCAGACACCGACTTCCTTCACTCTCTCATCTCTCAAGCTCTCCCAGCCCCTCTCAATCTCTTATCTCTCTTTGTGTTCTCTCTCTGATCTCTCTAAATGTGTTGCTGTATATGTCCTTTTGTTTTGGTTTTATGGAAAAGGGGTAAAGAAAACATTATTTTAGTTGTGATAAAACTAATCATTATTTAGTTATTATAAAATTAGGAATTATTATAGTTTCTCTAGTCTTTTGGAGAAATTTGCCTTCTTTGCCCAAGTAAGAAGCCTTACTTTTTTTTTTATTTTTTACTTCTCTTACTTTTTCTCCTGGCAGAGAGTTGCAGTTAGTATACCAGCAGTTAGGACCGATTGTGAGTAGATTGGTCATTTTATTCTGGTGAGTGGATTTGGTCAGTCTTCTATACAAATAGGGTGTGTGAAATATGACCAGTAAGAGCCATCTGCCCATACAAACAGCAGTCCTGTAGACGTTGAGGGAGACCCTACTTCCATCAAGAAAACCCTGGAGTACCGTGTGTTCTTTGGATTTGTGGTCCCTGTGCTGAAAACCTTCTGGACCCAGGAGCCATAGAGAGCTGTAGCACTGGAGTTGGTATAAAATGGTGATGCTTAAAGCAGTGGCAAGCACAACAGAGTCCAGCAGCAGAAAAGTGGTGGCAGTAGAACCAGGAAGTTGGAATAAAAGATATGATGGGCTTTCTGGTTCTTAGGATAAGACAGCTGCAGTGAGTTTGCTGATCACGGGAGCAAGAGAGCACCTGTGCGGAGGTCTTTTGGGGAGTGGGGTGCCTCCAGGAATATGTAGGCAGAACGTAAGCTGCTTGCCAACCCACAGAGTGAGAGAAAAGGAAGACTTCAGGCAAGGAACTTGCTTGTCTATTGAGATGGGTCTGGACACTTGCTGGTGAGCACGAAAGGGCTGTAGCACTCACTTGAGCAGGGCAGGGGCTGAGAGGAATACACTCGGACTACCAAAAGAACAAATATGTCTTGGAAAAAGTGCAGCTAGAATGCTCTTTAAAGGCAAGGACGATGAAGCTTCATCTCACCTACCTTGGGCATGTTGTTAGAAGAGGCTAATTTTTGGAAAGGGGAATTATGCTTGAAAGGGGGAGGAGGATCGCTGAAGGAGAGAAATCTTTAACGAGATAGATTAACATAGTGACTGCAGCAATGGGCTCAAGTGTGTCAGAGATGATGAGATGGCACAGGATAGGACAGGGTTCAGAGTGGTTGTTCATATTGTACTCGACATGATGTCACTTAACAACAACAACATCAGACTCAGAAGAAAGTAGAGAGTGCCATAGGATTGGTGTTGTGACTGGTAAAGACTAGATGGTGGGAGTGAGTATATCTATCCTCAAAGGACTCAGCCTTGGATTGACCCAGAGGGTGATTTTCATTTCCTTAGGAGTTAGATGAGGTCTGATACTACCCCATCACATTATACTCCTGTCTACCTCTCACTTTTTCAAATGAGGCAAAGGTCCAATGGAGAATTAGGGGGAGACTTTGGGGTGAACTTTGGAAGTATCTACCATGAGTGAAGCCTATAGGGTCCTTGAGTTGTATACTCTCATTGCATCTTTATAGTGTGGAAATGGCACAAGCATGGAAGGCAGATGACCGGAGTCCTTTTTGTTGCTGACCTGTTGGGTTATGATAGACGTCTCACTGAGCACTACTATCTGAAAATCATCAGGACAGTATCAGTATATGATCTTACTACTTACCTCTTGGGGTTACTGTGAAACATGAATGCTAAGTTATATGAGGAGCCCTTGACAAAAGGACATTACTCTATTATCATTGTTATTCTTTAACGTGTGGAGTAGGCATTTTGCCGCTTTACAAGCTGATTATAAGGGCTGCTGTGCAGATTAGACTTGGATACCCTGTGACCCACATAACCCTCTGTGTCTAGGCTCTGTGTCAGGGGAAAGGGATGACAGATTGGTGTATGACTCTGTCTTCAAGCAGCATTTAATGGGGAGCACACAGCTGTGAACAAGTCATTAAGAGGCAATGCTACACGTGTCAACATAGGAGAACGGATGATAGAGTGCTACAGGCTCTCGAGAAGAAAAGACTAATTCTTCTTGGGTGGTGCTGGGGAATGTAGGGGAAAGGCGCTAGGTTCCAGAAGAATCCTCATTCTCACAGGGATGTCTCACACTAAGGGACATTTTCTTTAACTTTCTGAAGATTAGCATATTTTACACTCAGATCCTATGAGGTAGTTGAGACGAGTGTTAATGGACCCATTTTGCTGATGAGAAGAATGATATTTTGAAGGATTTGAGCAGAGTCCCTTCAAAAGTAATCCTGTGCCTGTCTTGTTTCCAGGCTTTCTTCACAAAACTCCCCTGGGTCTTTTTTTTATCTTCTTTTGTCTAAAAGATGCATTTTGAGTAAGGTATTTCCATGCCATTAAGTCCCTTTTGCCAGTCAGTCTGTCAGCGAGTCGCTCAAACCTTACATTGTGACTGGCACTCTGGGAAGTCTCTCTCCTCAGAGAGCCCACAGCTTGATAGGGGTGGCAAGCTACTTGTCCTCCTAAGACTTGTTTACCCCACCTTCTCCCTCTCCCCTCCTGGCTTCCTCTCGCCCTTGGAAGCTGCAGAGACGATATTTGTGCCCCTGGTTGTGTGGAGAAGGGCGGGAAAGCCGCCAGACTCAACTTGTGTTTTCTCCTTTGGGTCTTCTCTCTGACATCAGGTCCCGGCTGGCAGACTTCCACACCAATTGTCGAGCCTCCTACCAGACACTCACCAGCTGCCCTACGGACAATTACCAGGCGTGTCTAGGCTCCTATGCTGGCATGATTGGTAAGCACCTCTCCTGAGTGCCTGAGGGTCATAGCAGCTCCTTGTGAGTCTCAGTGGGGCAGAGCCCGTGCTGAGAGCTCCAACTTGCTCTTCTCTGCTGCAGATTCAGACAGAACTCCCAACAGGAAACTGGAGGATAGGCTACCTCTTTATTGAGTAGGAAGGTCCCTAAAATATTTTAAAAATAATAACAAAAGGTAACATTTCCTGCGGGGTTATGGCATTTGGGTTATGCAGTTTGCACTGGCTGTCTTATTTCATTCTTACAGCAGCTCTTACTAGTATTTCCATTTTATAGCTGTTGAAACACAGACTTAAAGAAGTTGGGTAATTTGCCCAAGTTTTACACAGCGAGTAAATATTGGCACTGGGACTCAAACAAGGATGTGAGCATAAGTCTTCCAGACTCCAGGACTTCCTCTCTTCTTGATTATGAAGGAGAGCAAGGCTGCATGCCCTGGAGGAGGCTCCTGAGTATCTTCCCTGCTGTCCTAGTGACAAGGGGTCCAACCTCTTCTCCTCCTCTGGCCCCTCAGACCCCTTTAGGGCCACTTGGATAGTCTATGCCCAGAGTTAGGGCTGTGAGTTGGGATGGATGTGTGTTTTAGGGGGATAGGGTGTCCAGACAGTAGCTAGCTCGGGGTCGTTGTACCTGGGATCTCCTGACCCACAGGAAAAGACTGACTGCTCCTCTCTCCTTCCCCTCCCCTTCATCCCTGCCCAGGATTTGACATGACACCGAACTACGTGGACTCCAGCCCCACTGGCATTGTGGTGTCCCCCTGGTGCAGTTGTCGTGGGAGTGGCAACATGGAGGAGGAGTGTGAGAAGTTCCTCAGGGACTTCACCGAGAACCCGTGCCTCCGTGAGTCCTGGAGCCTTCACCCCGCCTTCAGACGCCACTTCTTCCCCAAGGGGGAGACTGGCAGTCTAGTCACAGCCCTGGTTAAGCCCTTCTTCCTTATCGGGGTGTGTGTTGATATATACATAGGAGACACACACATGCATGTGTATATGTGTATACACAGGCTTCTCTGTGTGTTTTTATTGATTTGCACGTTCATTATTAGAACATTCATTATGCCTTAGTTTACCACTGGAGGCTATGAACATATATCAGGTTTTCTGTCTCTAACTAAAGAGTTCTTGTCTGTTCTCCTGATAGTCTGGTAGTTTCAGCCTTTTCATGAGGATCTCTCACTGCTCCCTTTAAGGAATCTCTTTCATTTGTAATCAGTGACATTCTTTTCAAGTCTCAAGCTCCAAATACCAAGTCTAGCTATATCTGTCAAGCTATGTCTATCTTTGATCTTTCCAGTCTAACTCTCCTTGTTACCCCAAATGCCTATAGACTGCTTACCACTTTCCTTCCCTCCTTTCTTTTCTCTGCTCACTCTTACTTTCTGTATGACCTTGAGTCTTTGGATATATAAGTTATAGTCCCTGTCAGTCTAATGGAGGCAAGTCATAAAGAGGCTGGCCAGTAAGCCTGGTGCAGGGCAAGTAAGATGGAGTGTGGGGGGCTCTTCACAGGGTGCCCAGGAGTCCAGGATGAAGCTGACCGAGTCAGCTTGGGAGAGGGGGTTCCTGTAGAGGTGTGTGCATTTCTCAGAAGAACACCTGCTGGTGGGTAGTGAGGCACTGATTAGTTGAGAGACAGAAAGAACAGAGTACAGATCTCTACAGAAAGCCATGGTTGGTTGAGGAAACGTCAAACCATTCAGCCTTCCTATAGCATTAAAACAACCAGGGTGATTCTGGGCTGACTAGAAGGACCAAGGCTGCCCAGTGCCCTTCCCCTCCTTTGGGAGCTTTTTGATAATATAAATATATCTGTATATTTAAAAAAAAACAAAAAAAACAAAAAAACAACCAGGGTGAGACAGTTACCTGGGCAGATAGAGTCTTTGTGAAGTCTTTGTAGACTAAAAGGCATTTGGACTTTGCTATTATACAGGTGGTATTCAGAGTGTAGGGTGAAAGGGCCTAAGGAGGTAGTACTGGGTAAGGTCTCTATTTTTGAAAGCTCATTCTGGTTGTAATGCACAGGAGGGGGGGGGCTAGGGGGTGTGGGCTCAATAACTGCTCCAGTAAAGTCTAGTCAGGAGCTGTAGGTGGTTAGAGGAGTGTCATGGTGACTGCTGGTGTCTGACTTTGGGTAGATAGACATCTTCAAGACGGAAGGATGGAGAATACTGTTGGAAATGGTAGTGAAAGATGCCTAGTTCTGTTTTAGACATCATGAATTTCAGAGGAGCTCTGATAATGAGCTGCACTGCTCACTCCAAGGACGCCTTCCTCTGGAAGTTAAAATCCACCAGTAACTCCTTAGGAGAAAGATGGGCATTCTCCTATATATTTACACCTGTTAAAATCCAATGGAGGATTGCTAAGAGTTGCAAGTTGTTGGACAGCAATGAGTTTGAGGTTTTGTTATTGTTGTTTTTAAAAGAAATACTGAGGGTTTGATATTTTTTTTTAATGTAATACTGAGATTGATTACTTTGTCATGGGGTCAGGTCTTTGAGGGCAGTTTTATTCAAGTAGATTCTTTGTCTTCAATGAATTAGTGCAATGAAGGTGTGGGAGTTGGTGAGCACACCCAGGGGAGCATATGATGTGAAGAGAGGAAGGGTTGAATTGAAGGCTCTTAGCATGCCAGCAGAGAATGGAACTCTGAAGCAGGATGCATCTGAGGTGGCAGAGGAGCCAGGTAAACCTGTACCTAGCGAGCACTGGGCACATTGTCAGGAGCGGCCAGTCTCTGGAAAAGGACATCAGCTTGGAACGGTAGAGGGTCAGAGAAGGAGAGGGAGACCCTCAATGAGATTGATTGACTGACACAGGACTACAGCAGTGGGCATGAGGAGGCAGAGCATGGCATGGTGAGGATGACACAGGTTAGCGCAAGGTTTCTGTCTGTTGTTCATAGGGTTGCTATAGTTGTGGTTGACAGAACTTAACAACAAGAGTGGAGAACTGGGCCTGGGTAAGGTTCTGAAGGCAGATATGCTGTGCGACACAGATGCCGTTGAGATGGTGGCTCTCTGCATCCTTGCCATGACTTGCTCTTCTTTTTTACTCTGCTTCCAGTTTCTTCCATTTTCTTCTCCTTTTCTATGCTTTACCACATGTATTTCTTTCTATTCTGTCTGCACCCCCCCCCAATTCCTATTTCCTCTTGTTATTTCCTTCTCTGGATAGGAGAGCTTCGTAGGGCCTTGAAAAGAAGTTTTAGATAGTTCCATTTGGATATACTACACTCTCTCCCCAGTTTCTCGACTGTCACCAGGAGTGTCGTGGTCAGGGTGGGGATCAGGAGAAGAAGAGGTGGGGATGGCCTGTGATTTCTCTGATCTGTTTGCTTTCTCTCCTCCAATAGGGAATGCCATCCAGGCCTTTGGCAATGGCACTGATGTGAACCTGTCCCCTAAAAACCCCTCATTCCAGGCCACCCAGACCCCTCGGGTGGAGAAGATTCCTTCTCTGCCAGATGACCTCAGTGATAGCACCAGTCTGGGGACCAGTGTCATCACCACCTGCACTTCTGTCCAGGTGAGGGGGTTTGTGTCTGTGTCAAGGAAGATGGAGACGGGGCAGGTTGAGAGTCGGGAGGACCGTGACTTCAAGGTGGCTGGGGCACCCAAGAGGTGGGAAGAGCTAGTGGGGGTAGTTTTTAATGCATTTGTTCATTTGAACTTACAAATTACAAGTGTATGGACATTTATAATAATTACTGGGTACTGGAGAGGGAGATGGAGGCAAAAGAAATCTAACAGTTATAATTTATAAACTATCTGCTTATTACCAAGTACTAGTATTACCCATGTGCTAGTAGATACATTATCTCACTTAAAGCTCATAATAATGAGGTTTTGATATTATTTTAGATACAAGAAACAGACTCAGGGAGATTAGGTGACACAGCTAGTTGGTTGCAGATTTAAATTCCAAAACTACATATAGCTCCAAAGCCCATGGTGTTCATCTGTTAGTTAGCCCACCCATCTGATGTATATTCTATACCCTGTCTGTGCCAGATATTTTTATAGATCCTAGGGAGGTAGACACAGTCCTGGCTTTTGTGGTCCTTATGGTCTGTGGACAGTAAAAAATTAAGCAGACATTAGACTTGGGCTGAGGTTAATCCAACAATAGGGAATACATTTGTACCATGGAGGTACATCAGAGGGCTCTCCGCAGTCATTCTCCCTCTCTGCTGATCAATGTTGCCTTGCGTCACACAATTTCCTATAGTAGGGTCTCTTTCTAAGAGGCTGGTTCTTGAAACTACAGACCACCCAACACAGCTACTCTCAGTAAAAAACAGACACACAGAGACACACACACACACACACACTCATACCCCTTAATACAAATGAAAGAAAACCTAATACAGAATAATGGGGATATGAAAAGAGAGGAAGAAGTGAAGTGTTGTGTGATGAGAGGGTAGGATAGTTTAGGCTGTAGTTGAGACTTGAATTATCCAAAAAGGCTTGGTTTGGTTTGAGAATATTCCAATGGGGCCACAACCTAAGCAAAGGTGCAGGGAAAGGAAGGAGGCCTGGATATGTGAGACAATGAAGGTACTAGCCTAAGTGGGGTGCTGGTTCACGGGCATCCGCTGGGAACGCACATGGTGAGATGAGGGCCTCAGCAGGGGCCAGGCCTCATGCAAGCATTCAGGTCCTCTTGCATTATAGCCGTATGTGACTTGCCTGCCCTGGCCCGGGAAGCCCTCTTCCTATTTCCCATTCCCTTCCCTGTGGAGCCTCCTGCTCTGTAACAGCTGACCTCCAAGTGCCCTTATGGAGGGCTCAGCTTACGGCCTTTCCATGCCCTGCTACCCTCAATTAGACTGGCCCTCCTGGTTTGGAGTAGGATTCCACTGTCACCCTTGGACAGCTTCTAATTACACCTGCCGTGCCTGAGTAGCTGCCAGCATGGGGCTTGAGGTGCTACTCCACAGTCAGCCACTAGCTCGCTTTTATATTAGAGTGGTGGACAGCCTGGCTGGTCAGGGCTATGCCACCTGTCCACTGACCATGCTGGCTACTCTGAGTTGTCCACATGTCTCTCTGGCACCCAGCAGCGTCTCCTGTGTCACCTTCCTGCTGACTCAGCAACTGCCAGACCTTTCCCAAGGCTCCTGTGATTTATCATGGGCATAAAAAAGTGTGCAGCCATGCCCTCCTGCCAGCCCCCTTGAGTGCCTGATGACTTGGCATGTCCATCTTTTCCCCCTCAGCAGTTTACTAAACTGTCATTCTTTTTCATTTAGCCTCAGCCTGATTTTTTGCCAACTTATCGTCTGGGACCTTGTTTTAATTTTTATTTGATTCCAGTGGATTGTGGATGTAATGGATGATCTATATTGGAGATGGTGCAAATGCTTTATAAACTGAAAGCCATCACTTCACTCAAAAGGTGGACTTTTTTAACGTCCAGGAGTTGAGGAAGCAGCCTGGTAGTTAGAGCCCATGGGCTTGGTCACTGTGGGCCTATTATCTACCTCAATCTGCAGTACCGTCCGTGTCTGTGGGTGGGAGAGCCATGGACAGCCGTCCGAGGATAGAAGAGAGAAACTGACCCTCAAAGAAAGACTCCCCCAACCACCATCACTCGTGGGTTCCTTTCCTATGGAAGTAGAAGGGGAAGAATCTGGATTGTGTTTTCTTTAATATCTTGTCAATGAGCACCTGATTGTGCAAGTTAATAAGTAATATCTTATTAATGAGCACCTGCTCAGTGCCAAGCATGGAGAATGCAGAATGAATGAGCCCTAGCCCCTACCCTCAGCTCACTTGGAGGCTGGCAAGGGTCCTGTCTTCGTCCCCTCTTCATCTAACTTGGAGTGTCTGGCTGAATGGGTCTGTAGTGTCTGTTGTAGAGCCTTTTGGAATCGTGGGCACTCCTTAGAGGCAAGGATGGTGAGGCTTGAATTCACAGGCTTTGGGTTGTTGCCAGGAAGCACCAGTTTCTGTAGAAACACGTCATGCAGAGATGTGGTCCTGTATCATGGTTGAACTCCGTGGGCTGTGCTGGCACATTGGATGCTATATGTGGCTCTGCTTTCACGTCCACTTCTGACCTATGCCTTCATCCTGGAGCAGCCATGCCTACCTAGTTCTCTATGGAGCCTAGAGAGGGCCTGGCAGTGTCTGCAGCCTGGTCTCTCCCTGGGCCTCCTGGCCCTGTTTCAATACCTGTGTCTGTTTCCTCAGATTTCCTTCCTTCTCACTGGGCTCTGGAATGGGGGGATTACAGAGAGCAGGTTAGTTTTGGACAGTAATTCACCAGCCTTTGTTTCTGAAGCTGCGATGCAGTCCTAGTTATTGAGGGTTAGGGAAGAGGTGAGGACAGTGCTCAGCCCTTCCATTTGTTGGTTCCATTCACTGAAATGAAGTGAAAACTTAACAAAAATGGTAGCATAGTAAATATTATTTGATACAATGCCACAAGAGGAGTTCTTCAGGTTGGAAGGCACTCAGAATTTGTCTGGCAAAAATCTACCACCTCAAAGTAGAGTCAACTTTAATGATGTGGATAAAGATTTTGTTTCTCCATTTTATAGCCATGGCTCAGAATGAGAAGAAAAATCCATTAAAAAATGGAATGTGGAATGTACCGAGTATGAATAGAGGAAAATTAGAAGTTATCCAAAGTAAAATGGAACACATGAAGATCAATACTTTAAGCGTTGGCAAGCTGAAATGGACTGATATGACCACTTTTAATATGACATAGTCTACTATGCCAGGAATGGCAAATTGAAGAAGAGTGTTGCATCCATTGTCCAAAAGAGCACTGCAAGATCTATTCTGAAGTACAATGCTGTTAATTACGGAAAAATCTATATACCTACAAGGAAGACCCGTTAATATGATGGCTGTTCAAATCTGTGTACCAACCACTAATGATGAAGATGAAGTTGAAGATTGTTTTCCACTTTTTTTGGCTGCTGTTGATTAAGCATACAATCAAAGTGCATTCGTAATTACTGATAATTAGTGGTTGGACTGCAGAAAATTTTAACAAAGCAGGATGGGTAGTTGGAAAATATGGACTTGGTAATAATACAAATAACACTGAAGATTGTCTGGTAGAATTTTCCAAGACTTATAACAACTTGAACTCAACAAACATATTTACTCATTGTAAATACATTCTCTTCAATGGCATAAAATGATTATACCTGTGGACATTGTTGGATGAAATGAACAAGAATCAAGTTGATTGTAACAGCAAAGCTCACTATCATTAGTCAGAACAAGGTCAGGAGTTGACTGTGGAGTAGATCATCAGTTGCTCATACCCAAGTTCAAGTTAAAACTGAAGGAAAGCAAAACAAGTTCATAAGAGTCAAAGCATGAGCTTGAGTAAAATCCACCTGAATTTAGAGACGGTCTTAAGAATAGGTCCCCGGAGAAGGTCTCTCTATGCTCGGAAAGCTAGAGGATGAGTTAAAAAAAATCATGAGATGGATTTAATTAGCAGGTATAGCAATGATCTTAAACTTGGCAATGACTGTGGGAATGGTGCAGGACCAGGCTGTGCTTCATTCTGTGGTACGTACTGTTGCTATGAGTCAGAACGTACTTGATGGGACTTAACAACAACAACTCAGTGAACTGCTTCTTTATTCTAGCCTTCCAACTTTGTTTGCGTCACTCTGCTTGTGAATCCTTCTCAAATGTTATGCTTTTCGTGTGACCTTTACCAATTGTACTAGGCCCGGTTGCCTCTTACATGTGGACTTCCATTTTGCTTCATTTGAGCTTTTGCTGCATGTTCTGGGTGTGTATACTTGAAGGACAGGACCGATATCTTTGTGCCCTTGTACAGCTAAGTGCATAGTGCCAGGCACTGACAATGTTGTGGTTAGTTGCTTGTCAAGTTGACCCCTGACTCACTGGGCCACTCAGCAGAAAATCTGATTCTGCGTCATTTCTGATTGCATGGAGGAGTGTTGTGACCCATGGCCCTTGGTAGGTGCTTCATAAATGGTGAGTTAAAGAGTCTGTTGACCTTAATTTATGTCATTTATTGGAACTTACAGCTCTCTATTTAGAACAACATCTGTGTTACTGCTGGAAGGCAACTCTTTATTTGGCTTTTCTCCACCCAGTTCATTTTTTTTTAAATACCTTCTGTGTGCATGGTGAAAGAGTATTTTCATCAAGGATGCAGAAAGACTGATTGCTTAGCAGTCTCGTTGGTAACATGACAGGGTTTGAACCAGGATGCACAGTGGGGCTGAGGAGGAAGGCCGACGGTTAGTTCTTTCCCTAGGCGCAATCCATTTTCAGCATCCTTGCTATTTCCTTGGGCTCAGAACACTGATATATGGCCTCATCAAAGCAGCTGAATCCCAGCTTTCCTGTGGAGTTCGCTCAGTGGTACTGGCAAGCTCTAGTAACACATACTCACTTTATCCTTCTTTTCTACACCAGCCAATTTCTGCTTTCACCTTTGGCACTGCCAGTTACATCTTAAGTGTTAAGAGAGGCTACTACAACAAGGTCCTCTTATCATAGGCCTGCAACAGATTCAGCAGCCCCCTTTATTTCTCCCCTTATCTCACTCTCTGGTTCCTTTACACAGTCCTCAAGGCCATGCAAATCAAGGTATGGGGACTGAGAGGCCAGTTGTTAATGCCTTCTAGACATTATTATGCCTAGTAGGCAAACAAACATACCTGATTTTTAAATATGACTTGCTTACAAACTTTGAAAGACAGTTGTCTATAGTTTGGAATACATTCCCTCCTTTCCCAAGTACTTTCATTCATTTATTCACCTGCTCCTGCATTCATTCAGTTATTCAACATAGACTGTTATTACTTTTTTCCCCCCAGGCACCAAGGCTAACAAGTTTAGTGGCTGGTACATTGGTGTTCTACTCACATTGGTAGAACAGACAGGATTCCCACTCAGATAATTATGAGGGAGAAATTCACTGGTATACTAAGAAGACCAACCAATAAATTGTCATGGGGATCCACAGGAGGAAGGGACTGCTTTGACCTGGGAGTAGAGGATTCATGACCGAGCAAAACCTGTTCCTGTGCTTGAGAAAACATCTCCTAGAGAGGTTTCTGAGCCCAGGAAGTTGGAGGAAAATGATCTTCTTCCTCTTCCTTGCCTACTACACTTAACTCTGTCAGTACCTAGAGCCTTATTGTTCTGGCCCAGGTACTAGTGACTAAGTCTGTTGGTGTCTTTAAGGAAATGTGTGAATTTTTTGATATATGGCATTAAGAATAGAGTCAGTGAGATTGCACCAGGCAGAGAAGAAAAGACACAGAGTCAGGAAAGCATAGAGCATATTGAACATGTTGAGTAGAGGTCTCTGTACTATAGACTGCTGTCCAAATCAGGCCTACTATCTTTTTTAAAATAAAATTTTATTGGAACACAACCACATAAACAGTATCTCATTTCAATACTGTTTATGTGCTGCAGACAGAGTTGAGTCGTTGTAACAGAAAGTGTATGGCCAGCAAACTCCAAAAGATTTTCTGTCTGACTCTATAGAAGAGATTTATCACTACTTGATGTAGGAGAGCAGCAGGTGTGTATGTAGATTAATTCGAAGTATATGTGTGGCAAAGAGAGGTATTGGATATGAAACCTGATGATTGAAATGATATAGCTAATGTTGAGACACCACAAAAGGTTTTGTAGCAGAGGAATGTCCTCAGCAGAACTGTGGGTTAGGAAGATTCATCTGACAGAAGGTGGAAAAGGAGAGAAGCTGCAGAAACAAGAAAACCTGTTAGGAGATTTTTGATAGTTGGAAGTAAGATATGAGGAATTGAGCTAAAGAGAGGAGAGGAAGCAGTGTGAGTTATTGGGCGTGTGTGCATGTGTGCAGAAGGAGATAGCCCTCGTGACTGATGGTTGGGGCACAAGGACAGGAGGAACCCACAGTGGCTCAGGGCTTGTGTGTCGAACCAAAGACAAAAGCAGGAACTCAGGAGAGAGTTGACAATTTGCACCATAAGTTTTCCCTTAGATACAACACCAGACTTTTCCCCCACCATCTGAACTAGACTAGTAGGCTTCTGGAACTACCAGCCTGGGATTCAGTGGTGGAGAAGAGTCAGAGATGGACAAAGAAGGAGTAGAAGGACAATTCCCATCCAATTCACCGGCAATAGGGACCTCACTTGGGAGACTTGTCTAGAAGGCTGAACCTTTGCCACCAACTGCTTCTGCATCTGCATTCCTTCCCAATTCATGTCTCCCAGTGCCACCTGCATGACTTGCTTCTTTAATGCTTCTGATGGTGCCTCACAGCCCGGCCCAGGCACTCAGTTCCCCTCACAGGGTGCAGCTGCTCACTTTCTAGACAGGGGGCTTTGCTGTTGAAAAGCCCTGTTTTCTGCCAACGTAGGCCAGTTCCTTTTGGGAGTGTGTGATTCCAGAAACCCTGGAATTGCCTCAGAATAGGAGCAGGAACATGGGCTAGAGGAAGCTATATTTTCCACTCCTAGATCCCATCAATTAGAATTCAATCCATTTGATCGATGTGGAGGTGATTGTATGGGTGTATGAGCCCTCCCAACCCCCATGGCAAAGCTGTGACTTACTCATCTTTGAAACTCCTTAGTGAAGGGTGTGTGTGTGTGTGTGTGTGTGTGTGTGTGTCTCCAGGATGAGTGAAGGAAGAAGAGGCATTGCCCAGAGAATGCAGGAGTGAATGTGAGTGATCTTTTTCTCTGTTCACTTCTACTTTAAGAGAGGGTCAACAAATGGGCAGTCACCCCAGCTGTTTTGCCCAGTACTAGGCTGGGAGCCCCAGGCTTGCCATTAGGGGAGGTGACTGCAGCTTCATAGTCTGTTGGTTTTTTGAAATCAGATGGAGGTCTGCCTGGGGCAGAGACTCCTTGTACATAGCTTCCCAGCTGTCATCTGCTGTGCTGTGGGCTGCAGCAAGCAGAGTAGGACTCAGGGGGCTGCAGTCAAGCCCCAAACCACCAGCTTACCTAGACTTCATCTTGCAGCTTCTGCCTCTGTCTCCACTCCTTCATAGATTTTCTCCTAGGTCATGCTCTAGGATCCTTTTTACATGTGACTGTGCCTCTTGCTGTGTGGAATTAATCAACCCTTACATTTGTATAGAACCTTGCGATGCCAAATGCAGTATTCCATCTACTTTTCACAATAGGTTTGTGAAGTAGGTTTGTCCATCCCAGTTTTACAGATAAGGAAACTGAGGCTCAAATAGATGAAGTCACTTGACAGACACAGAATGTCATTGCAGGCAAGATCTTGGAGGTATTCTAGTTGTTTCTGCAAATCTTGTCTTTTGTTAAAAACAAAACATTTCTCCTCCTTCGCCCACCTCAAACATTTTAAGCATAACTCTCATATAACAAACAAAAATTGAGCTGTTTTGGTTGAAATGGGTGTTAATCTTAATCCTACCCCAATTGTTTGTCTTGGTGAGTATATATTCCTCCGCCACTAGTTGTTATAAAGTCAACTCCTATTCATAAAGATCCCCCATATCTGTCAGGAACTTTGCTCGACGGGGTTCCCAGGAGCTGATTTTTTGGAAGTACTTCATCAGACTTTTCTTTTGAGGTACCTTTGGGTAAACTCAAATATCTGATCTATTAGTTCATAGACAAGTGCTTTAAACATTAGCACCACTGGAGACACTGATTATATACAAAGTTTTATATTCAGTAGGCACTGTGGTGACCTCAAAAGGGAGCGGGGTGGTGACATATCTACCATATTCTGAAACTGTTATAGAAAGAGATGATGCTAGCAGTAAACGGGGCTGAATGCAAACCCCTGCAGGGCCCAGGACAGCCCTTATTTCACAGGAGCTGTGAGGAAAGCAGAGGTGAGCCTGAGTGAGCGCTGGGGAAGGGGAAAAGGTAGGGCAGTTAGATTGAAGATAAAGATTACAGTGCAGCCTTTGAGATAGGCCTTTCAGGGCTATGCCTGATTCTGGGGAGTAGAAGCCAGTTCATAGGGTCATAAGCACGTGCTCTTCAGCAGAGGAAAACAGATTGGTGGGTGGGCCGACCATATTTTGATTTCTAGAGAAATCAGTGCTATGGTCTTGAACAGATCTTCATAGTTCCATAGCCACTATGCTAATCATCACTGTGGGCCTATCTCTACTATCAGCGGTGACTCTGTTCTTGGCTGGGATCTCTGTGTGACAGCTGGGGCCTTGTCTAGCTGAGCAGATGCCCTGGATTGTAGATTGCCTATAATGTCCAAGGGATTATTGATACTTCTGGCCAAGCACAGTGATTTAGGCATAATTTCTTGGGCATCTCAGTTGCTTCTGGTGGCCAAAACTTCACTGTAAGTGCCTTGGGAATGAAACAACTTGAAGCCAGGACAGAAACAAGGAATCCCTCAATTAGTTCCCATGGATTACTATTATTATGACGATCACAAAGGATTGACTATTCTTCATGCCTGTACACTGACCCTTCATCCAAGTGATTATAGGGCTGAGAATGGTTGTGCCAGACCTTCCACACGCCTCACTTTGTCTACAGAAGTCCCATGTGCTGCACATCTGTTTAGCGTAAGACTGGCTAACATTTGGCATAGTCGCCCCGTGTCCACCTAGCAAGTATCTGTGCCAAACATCACTAATCAATCACAGCTCTCTTCCCCACTGAACCCGCGGGAGAGTTCCTGGCCTTCCTCTATATAGCCCTCCAGCGGCCATGATGACTTAATTGGAGCTGGCTCTCTGAAGCCTGTTCTGATTGGTGGCATTTGTTCAGGCATGCGTGCAGCTTCTAGTGAAAAATCATTTGCTGAGTTGCTATTGTGAGCGGACCACTGCTCAGAGCAAAGGAAAGAGAAACTTGGCCCTTGATTCTTGAGGGACTCTGGATAAGAGCAAGAGAGACGTGTGAATATCTTATTGCTACAGAACACTGTACAATGAAAGGAAGAGTCTTGAATCATGCACTCCAGGAGCCCAGAGGAGACAGGCCTAAGTGCTGAGGGTGTCATTGTGAGGGCGTCAGTGCTGAATTGGGTCTCCTGGGGATTAAGCCAACATTGTTCACTCCATACTATGTGCTTAGAGATGTTAGAGGTGAATGCCAGGATCATGGGTATTTGGTTTTCTATGAGTCGGTGAGCAGAGCCTGGCCCGAAACCCAGCCTCAGAGACATGTGCTTACTAATGCCTTTTCTCCCACAGGAGCAGGGCCTGAAGACCAATAACTCCAAAGAGTTAAGCATGTGCTTCACAGAGGTGAGTGAGGAGCAGAGTGGTGGGGTAGGGGTCGGGGGTGTGGAAGATTGGGCCAGAGGGAACTTTTTGTGAAGTAAGGCTCTGAGCCCCCAGATCCCATTGCACGGCTTGTGCTATCTGAGTCTCTGGTCCATCTGGATCTGGTAGGGCATACTCGGCTGGGAGGATATGCAGGGCGAGCTGGGCTATAGCTGGATCGTTGGCTGTTTCCATGTGAAAGAAATAAGTATCCACTCTGACAAAAGCCCATCTCAAGTTTTCCTTAGTCTAAGAAAAAAATATTATCGAACACTTCCTATGTTCTGGTTTCTATAGTATTTAGGAAATTCAGACGTGGAAAAAGAATCTCTTCTTTAAGGAGCCCCCAGTATAGGAGTTCAGATAGGACTTATAGACCTAAGGTGATAACTTCTAAAAAGTACTCATAAATTTACTGCCACTGATTCAATTCCAACTCCTAGTGACCCTATACAACCAAGTAGATCTTCCCTAAGTGTCCTGAGGCTGCAAATCGTTATGGAAGCATACTGCCTCATCTTTCTTCCTTGGAGCAGCTGGTGTGTTCAAACCACTAACCTTTTGGCTAGGAGCCACTTCACCATCAGGGCTCCTTAGAGAATAACTTTAGATGAGAAGAAACGGCAATGTCAGATTCCAGAGAAGAGAGATGTGCAAGGAAGGCTTGCTAGAGGAGGAGGCACTTGAATAAAGCTAAGGACAGGGCATTTTGCTGACACAGTGATTGTAGCAGTGGGCGGGAGCATATTGGGGATGACGAGGATGGTGCAGCATAGCCCAGGTTCAGATCAGCTGTTCCTGGGGTCACTATGAGTTGTAGTTGACTTGAGGGCACCTAACAGCAACAGCAAGGACAGGAGAACCTGTACTTTTCTGTTCTCTCAAGAAGCAGATTCTTGTAGAGCCTGAGAATGTCTGCTTCAAGATCTTTATCCAGTTGCTCCACTCAACTGGGACACAAAGGCTCTCCTTCATGTGGCAGGGTCAGGCCTGAGAGCCAGATAAAAGCCCGTTTTCATGGAGTGTGTACATGCCCGGGCTCATGAAAGCGTGCTTCTGCATTCAGAGGGCTGAGGAGGATGTCTCTGGGTCCAGAGGGTAGGTAGAAGCTTGCGGGATCCTGCTCTTAAGTTCTTCCAGTCCTGCTGACTTTTGTTTTATTGTTCTCTTTGTTTCTGTCTCCCCTTCTCCTGTGGACCCAGCTCACCACAAACATCATCCCAGGGAGTAACAAGGTGATAAACCCTAACTCAGGCCCCAGCAGAGGCAGACCGACTGCTGCCTTGACCACACTCTCATTTCTGCTGCTGCAACTGGCTTTGTAGGTCCTGGGAAGCACAGTGGAAGATTTCTGGAAGCTTCACTAACGAGAAACACCTGCCCGACAAAATGGAAACACACACAGACACACAAACACACACCCTTGCAAAAAAATTTTTTTTTTCTCTCCACCTTGTCTCTGAACTTTTCTCCTCCCAGGTTTCTTCTCTGGAGAAGTTTTTCTAAACCAAACAGACTGGCAGGCGGGCAGCCTGAGAGTGGGTGCCTGAGGTCCCCTGGCAGGGGACATTCAGTACTGAGGAGGGTGAGAGGGTCCAGGAACACCCTTCACGTTCTCCTGGTGGTTCCTCTCTGGACACCCCTGAAGCTGTAAGCCCAGGGTGGGCGAAGAGACCTGTTGCTGTGCCCGAGGCAGGCCGGGGCAGGAACTGCACTGCTGTCCTCCCGCTGCCCACTGTGGGGACTCACCAGGGTTTGCAGAGGGGCGTTGCCAGCAGAGCCATGAAGCTGGCCATTGACGATTCCTGGTGGACTCCTTTGACATCTGCTCTTGGCTTCAAGCATGAAGTGGTTTTCACTTCCCTCTCTCCCTCCTCCCTGCTAAGTGGTGCAGGTCCTGGTGGGCCTGTGTCTGTTGTGTGGACCCCTATGGGTGCCTGTGGAGGAACGGGGGCTATGGGCTCCCCATGACCTTTCACGGGGCATAGCTTCACCATGGCTCAGGAGCTCTGCTCACCCCTCTGGGGAAGGTAGCACAATGTGGGCACCTGCTCGGGGGGCCTCTTCCCTTTTTGTGGTAAGAATTTTGAAATCAAAGAGAAAGTAAACTTTGTTGGTTTTTTTTCAGTTGTAAGTGGGTCCATTTGCTGGGTCTCCTTCAGGGAGAGAGGCCACTGATAGTGACAGAGGAGACCACCGAGGTCTCTCATGTGCATTCTGTCCCTCTCTCTCTTCCCACCTCCTCTTTTTCATGTTCTCTTTCCTCATTTCCGAGACATACATCAACTGTATGTACATAGCCAGGCTCCTTTCTCAGCATATATGTATATACACATCCATATACATATATTGTGTGGTTTCCCCTTTCTTTCCTTTTTTTAGGAAACAGATCTATCAGAATAATACTCCAAACAGATGAGGGAAAATGTATTATTGTAAAGTTTATTTTTTTTAATAATGTTGTCTATAATGGAGGGAAAAAGAAACTAAACGTACTCCCTTGTGTTCCTGCTCCAGTTGGACCAGCTGCGGAAGGGGGTCGCTGATAGTATTCTCGCTTAACCAAGGCTCCAATAAACGTACTAGGAAGCAATTTGCCTTCTGCCTCACTAAGGTTGTGTCTTTCCCGCTGGTTCGCTCTTCACTTAGGACCACCTCCTGGCTGCTTACCTTAAGCTCCAGATGCCTCTTAGGAAGTGTGTGCATGGGTGTGTTTGAGAAGGATGTGGTAAATGCCTGTACGTGCACACAAATGTAAAAAGCCTTGTGCTTACGCAGATCCATCCTTAGGACCATGATTGTGGGTGGATAGACAACACTAGAGAATTTTTCCACTCCTTGGGTGTGAGATTCCAAGCAGCCTGTTAAGTACTCTAGTCCTTTGATTTGTTAGCTCCTCCCCTTCCCACCTCCCTTTCCTAATCAGTAAAAATGCCCTTTGACTCCAGGCTGGATGAGAACCAAGTAACCTTGGGGATGGAAGAGGAGGAGACAAGTTGGTGACACGCCTCTGGTGTACTTTTGCTTTAAGGTTGCCTGGGAGACCCTGGGCCTGTTAGGTGTGGCTCTTAGTCATGTGTAGAGTGGAGGGGCGCCTCTTACCTGGGATGCAGGGATTGCTTTGCAGTGCATAATTCCCTTGGTTTCTTGGGCTCCCTGAAAAGGACAATGGTGGAAATTCAGGGGCAGGTCTCAAAAGAGTAATACTTTTTATTCTCTGTCCAAACTTTCTGCCCACATTCTACCCACACACTGGGAAGCCGTGCTCCCCCTAGAGAGGCCCAGGCAAGATGCCTGAGTGAGGGGCTATGAGTGTGTGCGTGGGCACAAGTGCAGACTTGCAAGTGTTCATGTGTCTGCATGAATGGATGGATACAGGGAAGGATGGAGCAGAGGCTGGAAGCAAGGGTGTTTTCCCACTGTCAGCATGGTCTTCAGCAACCAGACGCCACCAAAAGGTGACGAAATGCCACTTTCTAGCTTTCCAAACTTGGGTCTGCCCAAATGGCTCCTGTTCCTGGTTTCATACACTAGAGGAGCTGGCTCACAGTGTTGGTTACTGGTGTGTAATGTGGAGTGCGCCTCGCACCCTTTCAAACGCTACATGAACAAGAACCCAGCCAACTCTCTTCCCTAGTTGTTGCCATGGATACAGATGGCTGTGAAGTCCACCTGGGAACCTATAGTCTTTGCAGACAGCACATCCTATGATTAACAGAAAAGGTAATTCTTGCAAAGTTGAGAGAAATTGACTCACAGAATCTATGGGAAGTGGCAGAGGGCAAGAGTCAAAGGTCATCTGAAGAGATTGAAGGCAAGAGCTTCCAGGTCAGCATACTCTTGCCAACAATTGAAGGTGAACGACTGCCAACCATTGTCCTGAACTGGATCCTACTATATGTGAGCGGGAGAGGAAGAATATTTCATATCTGACATCCCCAGTGTTTGGTGGTCTTTTAGACTGCATACTGGGGGCAAGAAAATATCTCCAAAGGGTATTTTGACATATTAATATGAAGAGGGAGTGGATGCTACAAAGTTTTAATCTGCCTTAGAGCATCTCCCCATTTGGGTATCACAGTGGCTGTAATTTTACTATTAAATATTCATTCCTTTGGCTAAGACAATTCCCATTCCTCTGATCTTCACACAATAAGCAAATAAAACTGGGAAGAATAATGTTGCTGCTTTAATGCCAATTAGCTTTAACAGTTTGCATGCATCTTAGTTACAATAATGACATTTGGGCCTAGATAGTGAGATTAAAATTGGGGAGCAGACAGGGAGAAAAGCAGGGACAGAATTGAAGATGATTGGTAGGAAGCATCAGAGATAGATTTTATTTCAGAGTTATTTTGGGAAGAGTGCAGAGACATGCTGTATCCACTATATCTTTACCCCAAAGTCAGCAAAGTACACAAAATTAGCTTCTGTGCCACTAGCCCCTTGGGGATTCCTGATCTGGGATATGCATCTATCTGTAAGGTTGCATTAGCCATGTTTTCAAGGTTCCAGTACCTTGTTCAGTCTATAACTACATTCCCAGCTGCTTCTCCTCTTGGTGAGAGAAGCTTCTAGGGTGGGGACATTGTTCTCCGCAACAACCCAAGCATTAGTTTCCCATCTCTTTTTAGACCCTTGCCACCCTCTTCATCATAGCTAAGATCAGTGGACTCTAAGACCAGCAGAAACCCCTGACACGTTGTACAGTACTTCTGGTTCACTTCTGTTCTGGTGATGCTCCGAGACCAGACACAGGGCTCTCTGTACCCTGGCCTCTGCCTTTATAACCTCTTGACTATACTGGTTTTCTAGGACTGGGTCACCTCACTTTGGGTAGCTCTTTTGGGAAATAACTCTTACTTGAATTGTTAGGTTTTACCTGAGTCTTGCTGTCTACACTGGACCTTCCTGTTGCAGCCATCTCTCTCAATCAGCCTGAGGCTGCCCTGCCTAGCCAGATTCATTCCAGGCTCACCTGCTCATGGAAATACGCCTTTTCCACCAGTAGCCTTGGTTTAATGTGTCCTCAGTACTGTTGCTTGTTGGTTTCTAGACCTCAAGGGTGTGATAGTGTACACAGTGGTTTAATTTTGTGCCCAAAATGTCTTTATGTGTGTGTGTGATTGCAGAAGCATTATATGCACATGTGTGTTTCTAGTTCTCGGCCCTACCAGGTGCCTATGTGAGAAAGATTTTATTTACAGAAGGGCAAAGTCTCAGTATTGCCTGCTGCCTGAGACTTCATTACCAGCCCTGTTGTTGTGCGATGTTGAGTTGAAACTGACACATAGCTGTTCCTCATGTGGGTTTTCAGAGGCTATAAGTTGCCGTTGGGTTGGCAGTGCAACTCTTTCTTTCCCATCTAGAAGAATTTCCTTAGATTTCTAGCATTTCTGCAGCCAGAGTGCTCCTTAGAGACAAGGATGGCGAAGCTTCGTCTCATGTCCTTGTTGTTAGGGTGGCTGTTCCTTGGAAAGGGACATGATGCTTGGAAAGATGAAGGGCAATGAAAGTGAGGAAGACCCTCAAAGAGATGGACTGACACAGTGACTGTAGCAGTGAGCTCAAGTGTGTCGCAGATGATGAGGATGGTGCAGGATAGGGCAGGGTTCATAGGCTCACTGTAAGGAGTACTCAACTAAGTGGTACCTAACAGCATAGCAAGTGGAGGGCTTTAACAAACAGAAGAACTGATGCCTTTGAGCAGTGGTGTTGGAGAAGAGTATACTATGGACTGCCAGGAGTCATCCTAGAGAGGGTGGGACCAGGCTGAGGTTTCATCTGATATACTTTGGACATGTTGCAAGGAGGGACCAGTTCTTGGAGAGGGTCATCATGCTTAGAAGGGTGGAGGGACAGCACAAGAGAGGAAGACTCTCGATGTGATGGATTGACTCAGTGACTGGAGTAATGGGAGTAGGTGTGTCAGAGACAGTATGGTTAGCATGGGATAGAGCAGAGTTTAGGGCTGTTGCACATCGGGTTGCTATGAGTCGTAAGTGACTTGATGGCACATAACAATAACAACAGCAACAACAGTTTAGGAGTCTAGAAGTTTCGATTCATGGTGCCAACTCTATGGAAAACCCATCCCTCTTTCTCACCTTGTGTAGGAAAGTCCTTATTTCCTTCAGCAGATGTTCTTGCAGATCTCCACGTGTCCTGGTCTGCCTCGATGCCTAGGAGCTTCATTGAGCAGGGACCCAGAATCCAAAAGGCTGCATTCCAGTCTGGACACTTCTTTCTTGGTCTTACTGAGGTCTCCTACTCTCAGCTCCTTTTCTTTCCTTTTAAACTTTTGTGAGATAGAAGATAAGGAAACTCTCCTTATACTAGCAACTGATTTAAGGGGGTGTTGTGTTCCATTCTCAGTCCTTTTACAATGATTTGGTTTATTCGATGGGGGATCATTTCATGGTTACAT